GCGGCCAAAACTATATGTCAATGGAAACTACATTGATATGCGTAACTTTCATTAGAAGAAACCCAAATGCCCAGTTGAGTCATAAGGGGTAAATATCCCATTGTGAAGTTTCAACGAAATGGGGTATTTTCACTTTTCGACCCGAATTAAAGGTTCAAGTTATAAGGAGTAAATTGTAGGTCAAGAGAGATTGACAATGTATGGAGCCTATAGGTAATTTTTTACGAGGAATCCGAATATGTCATTAATTTTGGGGTTAGATGGGGTATGGACCCAATTTCGGGGTATTTTTCGAAATTTTCATAAATTTTGTAGGGGGACCCCCCTTGGGGGTGATGGGAGGGGATGGGCAATGGCCTAAATGAAATGTGCGGATAAAATTAGTTATAGTTGGCCATACATTTGAGTGCGAAATTCCGCACCAAAAAAGTGAAAAATCGACTTTTTATCATTTTACCCTAATGGGGGGGCTCTGAATTGTTGGGAGACTTGGGGTGAATGGGCTCGAGATGAATATCATTTCTAGGGTAATTTGGGATGCTGATTCCGAATTTCGAGGTTTCAGGCCGAAAAAATCATATCTTGGGGGTTTTTGACCCCCCGACTCCCCTGGGGGGTGGGGGGACTTGGAGGGCAGGGGTCATAAAAAATTTCTCTCGTCATTCTGAACAACTTTGTAGTACATTATTTTTTGATCCGACCAAATTTTGACATGGTGGGGTACTCCCCTGCCCCCCCTAATTCGATTGGGCCCCCCTTATTTTCACAAATTTATTTTTTCGGCACATTATATCGATCCATATAGGTGAAATTGAAAACTTTTATTAACACTTCGATACCTTTACTGGTGAGAAGTTATAATTCTTAATAGTATAATATTTAGTGTCAATAAAAAAATATAATAATTTGTTTCGTCAAATTTTCACATTAAGATGCGAATAATATGTGTAACTTACCACAAGTGTTTGGACAAGGGTTGACACATTTATTATTGATGCACGCTTTTGACGGGCTGCATTCATTGTTGGTTGTGCATTCTGGACGACATGAAATATATGGGTCGCCATGATAATCATTTATGCATGTACACTTTCCAAAATCACAAATGGCATTGCTTCCGCATGGATTTGGATCGCATGGAGAAACTGGGCGTGGTCGTGGTGGTTCAATAATTTCAACACATTGTGTGAACGGATCGCCGGTGAATCCGGTGCGGCATGTGCAAATTGGTATATGATTTTGAATTCGACACTCTGAATTGAAACCGCAGCTCCCTTCACAAGGGTTACGGCAACGTTCGGCAATGCACGACTTATCTGATTGACAATCCGAGTTTACTAGACATTCTGGCTTGCAATTTGGTGGTGCTCCGAAATAATTTGGTAAACAAGAGCACGATGCACGATCATTAATTGGTCTGCATTCAGCAAAATTGCCACATGGTGACGGGAAGCATGGGTTTGGTGATGGTCGTGGTGGCGATGGATCCTGAAATCTTATTTGACATCTGACAAATGGGTCCCCTGTGAAATTTCCTGGACAACTACAAATTGGATTGTGATTGATCACTTGACAATTGGCTTCGACACCACAAGCCCCAACACAGGGGTCAGAACATTTAAATTTATGGCACGCTTTGTTTTGGGGACATTCATTGTTGACGGTGCATTGTGGCTTGCAATTCGGTGGTGTTCCAATATATTCATCTATGCATGAGCAAACGGCTATTCCATTTGCCTCATGACAACGACTGTGTGGTCCTGTTAAATCGCATAAAATAATGTCGAAAATAAAAAATGAATGTCAGAGAATGAAAGTACGAAAAAGTTTCAATTCAATTTGTTGCGAATAGAAGTCTCACCGAATTTTCTAAATAAGCTTGCGAAAATATATGTATACTTCGTTTAGTATTAATTTCTAAAATTAACTTACCGCATGGCGATGGTCGGCATACATCAACAATTGGTACTTCAGTTGGAACTGGAGGTGGTTCTGTACATGATCTAAATGGATCACCAGTTAAACCATGACGACACGTGCACGTTGGCACATGATTCACTGGAGCACATTCAGCATTGGAGCCGCAAATTCCAGGACAAGGATCTATACATTTATTGTTTATGCAAGCTTTGTCAGACGTACAGTCAGATGATAGCACACATTCTGGCCGACAACCTTCATACGGATTTCCATGATAGCCTTCGATACAGCGACAAGCGCCAATACCATTACGATGTTCGCACAAAGCATTCGATGCACATGGGCTTGGCTCGCATGGATTTGGTGGCTCATGGCGTTGAACAATACATTCAACAAATGGATTGCCAGTAAAACCGGCCGGACAAACGCATGAAACTGTATGACTGATAACATGACATTCAGCGCCGGCACCACATGATTCAATGCAAGGGTTTTGACACTTATTGTTTATGCATGCGTATTGAGCGGGACAATCAGTTGAAATCAGGCACTCTGGGCGGCAATTTGGCGGTTGGCCTATATATCCGCTGATACATTGACATGATGGCGTCGGACCCACGGAACGGCATTGACTATTTGGACCGCAGGGATTACATCCATCTTGACATGGATTTCCGATGCATGGATCATCATCTTCTGGGAGTGTTACTGGAATCGGATAACAACCTTGGAATGGATCTCCGGTTTCACCCGCCTTGCAACTGCAAATTGGCGAGTTATTGATCACTTCACATCTTGTATTCATACCACATGCCGATATACATGGGTTAACACATTTCTGATTGATACAAGCGAGAGTTGGTCCACACTCAGATGAAATTAAACATTCTGGACGACATTGTGGCGGTGTTCCAATGAAACCAGGAAGACAAGTACATACCGCATGATCGTTAACATCGCGACATTTACTGTTTGCCTATTCAGAATGAAAACATTTATTATTGATTCATTTTCTGTTGTTCACATTTTCTTTAACATTTACCCCGCATGGTGATGGATTACAAACTTCGATTTGTGGAGGTGGTACAATTGGTGTTTCACGACAATAAGTGAACGGATCTCCCGTAAAACCGTTTGGACATGTGCAAACAGGAATATGGTTGCGAACATCACACTCTGCGTTTTGTCCTGTTTAAAAATATATATTGAAATAAGATTGAAAGAAATTTGTATTTTTTTTTTTTTTTGCATTAAGAATGTACCACAAGTTCCAGGACAAGGGTCAACGCATTTGCTGCGCAAACACGCTCTATCACGGTTGCATTCGGCCGAATTTACACATTCAGGACGACAAATATCATATGGGTTGCCTTGATATTCAGCAATACACCGACATTCGTTTCCAATACATTCTGCATTCAGTCCACATGGATTTTCAGAGCAGAAATCATGCACTGGATCTCTTTTCACTACCGGATTACATTGCACAAATGGATCACCCTCATAGCCATCATTGCATGTACAAATGGGCACGTGATTCAAAACATGACAGGCTAGACAAAAATAATAACATAAGAAAGGAGAAAATGAAAAAGAAACTATTCCGACACTTACTAGCTTCAAAGCCGCATGAACCGGGGCATGGGTCTTTGCATCGTTGTTGTATACATGCTTGTTGGGCGGGACATTCGGCGGAAATGGTGCACTCAGGTTTGCAATTTGGGGGACGTCCGATGTAATTTTCCAAGCAAGAACATGCCGGAACGCCAGAGATCATTTGACAATTTGAATTTGGACCGCATGGTGTTGGAAAACAACTTGGTGGTCGTTCAGTTGGCGCTGGATCGGGCATTGCTGTAAAAAGTGATTAAAACCATTAGAATCCATTTTTTCTAGGAACGAAAAAAAAATAAATGCAACGAAACTTACGTATTCTTGTACATTGTTTGAATGGGTCGCCTGTATACCCGTGCGGACAGGCGCAAATTGGCGAATGTTGGCTAGTATGACAAACGGATTCAATACCTTCAAGTGCCAAAAAGAAGAAAAAAAGCAATAAGTTTGAAATTTGAATAATTCTTTAGCAAAAAAACTTACCGCAAGTATGTGGACATGGGTCCGTGCATTTTTGATTAATACAAGCCCTGTCCGACGGACATTCATTGCTGGTAATGCATTCTGGGCGGCAATTTGGTGGCGTTCCAATATAACTTGGTGCACATGAGCATACAGCTTGACCAGCGTTGTTGCGACAATTGCTATACTGTCCACAAGGTGACGGTGAGCATGGGTTATCAATCTTTGATTTTTCTGTTACCGGTTGTTCACGACATTGGAAGAGTGGATCTCCAGTAAAACCAGGTGGACATGCACACGATGGCGCATGATTTGTTACATGACAAATTGCATACGTTCCACATACGCCGATACATGGGTCAACGCATTTGTTTCGAACGCAAGTCAATTGATCATTACAGTCTTCATTGATCTCACATTCGCGACGACAACCTCTTTGCTCATAGGGATTACCATCAAAGCCAGGCAAGCAATAGCAAGCACCGGCTCCGTTTCGTTCACGACATTCGGAATTCAAACCACAAGGTGATGGATTGCATGGAGTTGGTGTGGGTTCAGTGGGTACTAATTTCATCGAAAAAATTTAAACAAACGATTAGCATATGATAGTCCATTCTAACATTTTCATGGAAATGAAAATGTAAAAAAATCTGCTTTCAAATAAAAAATTGTTTTCCAAATTCAAATTCAATCAAATTTAAAAAAATATATATATACATATCCAAACCGATTGAAAATTTCTTACATTACATGCATTTTGTTGCAATTTGTTTTGCTTTTATACAAAAGTGTCTATATATATTACAAATAGTTCGAGCTAAGAAAATAAGTTCTAATTTAAAATTATTTTTGGTCCTATGCATTTTTACAGAGCAGATCTTTTTGCAGTGATGTCATACAAACCATTTTCTGTTTGAGATACATACAGTACCCAAAGCGAAATTGTGTATTTACATAATCAAATGAACATGAAAGTGTTTAAAGAAACGTCAGCGAACAGTGTTAATTTACATCATCAATAATAACATTTATATAATTATGGGTTAATCAGAATGAAATTAATTTCGTGAATTTTTGTTTTGAAAACATGTAATTTTCAATCAAAAGGTTAACGTGTGTGGATAACGATTAAAACACAAATAAATATATTAGAACCGTTCGCTGAAGATATTTAAACATATTTTTTTATATCGATCGATCGCATTCTCGGAAAATTGAGGTATTCGCTTTGTTGGTGAAATTTGATGAAAAAGCTCAAAACGAATATCAATTCCAAGCATTAAATACGATCAATCGATTGAGGTAAGGAGAATCTAAAATAGCTAAAAGTAAATTAGGTTCTTACATGTGACAACGATTATTGTACATCGTGTGAATGGATCACCTTCGAATCCAGAAATACAATTACATACAGGATTATGTTTAACTACACTACATACGGCATTTTGGCCGCATTTTTCTACACAGGGGTCGATGCAACGCTCATTATGACATGCTCTGTTGCTGGGGCACTCCTGGTGCGAAGTGCATTGTGGACGACAATTTGGTGGTCGTCCAATATAATCGGGCAAACATGAGCAAGCGCTTTGACTTCCAATTACACGGCATTGTGAATTTGGTCCACAAGGATTATTTATACAAGGATCTATGTCATCTCTCTTTATACTTGCTATAAAATGGCATAAGGGATATTATTTGTTTTTAGTTCACAAGAATCAGAATTCAATTCACATGAATCGGATTTGATTTTTTCGGATGTAATCTTATCATAAAAAGGATATTAGAATCGCGATCTTACTGTCAATTGGAATGCATTTTGTGAATGGGTCACCACTGAAACCCTTTGAACAGCTACAAATAGCAATATGATTGACTACTTTGCAAATGGCATTTTGGGCACAGGTTCCGCTCTTACAAGGATTGATACATTTTTGATTATCACATGCTTTATCTTGAGAACAATCCGATGAGACAACACATTCAGCGCGACAATTGGGTGGCATACCAAGATAACCCGATTGACACGAGCACACCGGATGATTATTTACTTCATGGCAAACACTGTAGGGTCCACATACATGGGGAGAACATATTTCTACTTGAGGTGGAGACGTTGCTGTATAAAGAATATTTACATATGTTCCGGTTAAGTTTAAGTTTCTGTACAATATTTTCATTTTTAACAATTGAATTCACAAACATATTCGAAGTAAGATTGCATCAACCGATCAACAAAAAGCAATGATCTGAAGCAGTTAAATTGTAACATGTTATAATAACCGAGGATCGAAGAGGGAATTAAACTGCATCGCAAATCATTGACATTTTATTTTTATTCAAGTTGAAAAAACAATCAAATTCAAATTGGTGAATTCCGTATTTTCGCCAATATTCAATTGACAAAACTTACTGATTTCGATTGGAGTACAAGAGATCGCCGGATTACCGGTAAAACCATTATCACAGAAGCAATTTGGTGCATGATTTCGAACCGTACAAACTAGAAAAACAAATTCAAAACAAATCAATCCAAAATTTATTCGGCCATTTAACGCTATTTCGTTTCATATTCGACAGCGACTTACTCGCATTGACTGGACATACACCAGGACATGGGTCTTTGCATTTATTATTCACACAAGCCTTTGATTGATCGCATTCATTGTTTTGAACGCATTCAGGTCGACAGCCAGTGTATGCGTCTCCACTGTATTCGGGCAAACATGCACATGAACCGATGCCGTTATGTTCTTTACAAATGGCATTTGCACCGCATGGTGACGGTGAACATGGACTTCGTTTTTCGCCTACTATTGGTGGCACTGAAGATTCAATTACATTAATTCATTTTTTTTTAAAGACGGAGACAAATGATGGACGAACATAATTATGACGAAATTGAAAATGATTTGAAGGTTCATTTTTATAAATGGACATTGGAAATGTATATAGAGATAGATAGAAGCTTACATGAATGAAATGAATGAATAAAATACAAGATAGAGAAGGATCTTACATTTAGGTATTTCTGTACAGCCAGAGAATGGATCGCCAGTGAAACCATTCTCACACTGGCAAATCGAATTATGATTTATAACCGTACAGAATGTATGAATGCCACATGAGCCAACACATGGGCTACTACACCGTTCATTTATACATGCTAAATTAGCAGGACAATCGGCGGAGTGCAAACATTCTGGACGGCAATTTGGCGCTCGTCCCACATAATTAGGTAAACATGAACATGCAGCCGTATCACCAACAGCGCGGCACTGACTAAATGGACCGCACGGATTTTCCAGACAAGGATTTCCACTTGGCTTTGGTATATCTATATCGGTTTCTACAGTTTTCAGTGTTGGTATCAAAGATAGAATAGGAGCAAAGGAAAATAGTAATTTTACAAATAGTTTTCATGCAGTTTTGAAAAGAAGAAAAATAACCACAACTTTTTATACTTGCGTCGAATGTTTTGGTATGCGATATGAGCCAAACGAGTGAATTGAAATGGAAGTGAATATAATTTTGAGATTTTAAAGAATCGAACATCTTCGCAAGTATAAATCGATGCACAGTGACATGCACTTACGTTGTACTACTATACAGCGAATGATAGGATCACCAGTGTGACCAGGCGGACAACTACAGATTGCGTTGTGATTGACGACATTGCATCGAGCATGTAAACCGCAAACTCCGATGCAAGGATCAACACATTTTTTATTTATACAAGCTCGATTTTGAGCGCATTCCGACGAAACTAAACATTCGGCACGGCAATTTGGTGGACTTGAAATGTAACCAGGAAGACAAGAGCAAACTTCATGCTCATTTACCACACGACATTGACTATTCAAACCGCATGGATTTGGATGGCACAATTCGGTAACATTGTGATATTCTATTTTGGGAATATTATTAATGTATTAAAATTTCGCGTGAAATGGTATTTTCATCAAAGTTCTTTTTTTTGGTATTTAATCGCCAAAAGATTTGCCAAATTTTGTTTGGTCTAGTTATAAATGCATAACTTTTGTTTAGATTCTTAGTGGCCACAAGAATCGAAAATAAAAAACAATGTATGTTTTATGTTGTGTGTGTTTTATTTTCTGTTCCTGTGGTCAATAAGGATCCAAACCAAAACTATACATTTGGTATTTTCATTTTTTTTAAGAAGTTCTTCTTTCTCATCCGTACCGAAATTATGCCCAAAATGTCACACTGTTAGCGCCACGACGGAATTCAATGTAATCTACACTAAGTTGCCGCCAAATAGTGAAAAGACTTTTGCTCAGTTGCAACCAACAGACTAGAACTCCATAGTTGTCCGTAGTGGCGCTAGCAGTGCTACAGTTTTGCATTTTATACAGTCTCTTATGGAGCATAATTTCTGTGTGTTCTCATCGAAATGAGACGGTTAAGAAATTCAAACTTTTCCAAATGAAAACACAAATTGACGACTAGATTTCGAAAGGAGATTTCTTACTCGGCGGAGATGATTCTGGTTTATGGCATCCAGTCATTGGATTTCCAGTAAAACCGTTCATGCAACGGCATGTCGGTACATGACCAGAAACACGGCATTCAGCGTTCAAAGCACAAAGGCCGGGGCAAGGATCTTTGCATTTGTTATTAAGACAAGCCAAATGACTTGGACAGTCACTAGATAATAAACATTGTGGTTTGCAACCACTATATGGGTCACCAAAGTATTCTGGCAAGCATTTACATGCGCCAGCTCCATTTTTCTCAATGCATTCAGCATTAGCGCCACAAGGATTTTGCGAGCAGGGATGACGAACTTCAATGACTGTTGAAAAATATTCAAATGATAATTTTTGTAAAAAAATGTCCAGTTTTCAATATTGAAGTGGTGTGACAAGAACAAAAGCTTAGTTATTTCGATCAAAACGGGACAGCGCGTACAAAAAAAAACACATATTCATAACGCAATCAATATAAAACTAATTTCACCAACGAATCTGTTCATTCTTTTGCTAAGATTTTCTAAAGAGTAAATAAATTTTGTGGCGTAATATAAAGGAAGTCAGAATTTTAAGGCGAAAAAATGCACGAGGCAGGAACAAAGCATATTGCAGAAAGGCTTAAGATTAGTTGTAAAAAAGATATTAAAAGTGCCAAAGAAACAAAATATTTACAAAAGCTACAACTAAATAAGTGTTTGTATGTGAAAGCTACGTATTAACTAGTATCTACAATAAATAATTTCAATTTTAGTAAAAAATAACAAACAAATACAAGATATCGTTAGAGTAGCAAGCGTTTACATGCACACTTAAGGCTAAAATATAAATCTTACTTGGTACTGGATAGCAACCAGAGAAGGGATCACCCGTAAAATCATTATCGCAAGAACAAACAGGAGAGTGATTCACTACTCTACAGTAAGCTGAAAAACCACAGCTCCCTGGGCAGGGATCTTTACAGCGTTCGTTAATGCATGCTAAATTTGCCGGACATTCTTGGTTTGAAGTGCATTGTGGACGGCAATTTGGTGCTTGACCAATATAATCCGGCAAACATGAGCATACAACCGTCGTACCAATTTCGCGACACTGTGAAAATGGCCCGCACGGATTTGGCACACATGTTGGCCGTTTGGGCACATGCACAGGTTCTATAGTTTTTTTACCCATAATAATATGATGTATTTTGTACAAAAGAAAAAAAAGAATGAAGAAGAAGAAAAGGAAAAGAAAGAAATGCTTAAAATAAATCATGCTAGAAAAATAAAGTGAAAAAACTGCAAAGCTAATAGACTAGCGATTACACCTTTGCATTGTGTTTGAAGTGCATTGCGCAAAGAAATTGTGTTTTCAAGTGATGCTACTAATTCATTGCTCAATGTAAAAAAAAGGCGAACAATTGTAAAATAGAACTTTAAAGAGTAAAATTCAAAAATAAAAATGTTTTGCTTCCAATGCACGTCGAAACCCTAATGCAAATGTCTAATGTGCTGGAAAGCTTACTCTCTTCAGGAGTGCATAGAACAAATGGATCGCCCATAAAACCCAATGGACAACTACAGATAGGATTGTGATTGATAGCATGACAGCGAGCGTGATCGCCACAAGGATTTGAAGCACAAGCATCGACGCACTTGAGATTTATGCACGCTTTATCGGGCATACAATCCGATGAAATTGTACATTGTGGCCGGCAAGCGGGCGGTGTACCAATGTAATTTTCGAGACACGAACAAATTGCATGATCATTTACTTCACGGCAAACACTATACGGGCCGCAAGGTGATGGATGACACAATTGAACCTCCGGTTTTGGTGGTACTAGAAGCAACAAATAACATTAATCGAAAAGATCAGACACAACAACAACGGCCAACGATGAGTGAAACAAAGAACACATACGTCTAGGAATTTCATAACAACCAGTCGATGGATTTCCGGTGTATCCGCATTGGCACGTGCACAATGGTGAATGATTAACGACAAAACATTCGGCATTCGCAGCGCACACAGAGATGCAAGGGTTGACACATTTGTTATTGAAACAAGCCTTCGTTTTGGGGCAATCTTGGTTCGAAATACACTCTGGGCGACATTCGATGTATGGATCTCCGTAATATTCGGGCTTACAACTACATGAACCAGCGTTGTTTCTTTCTTTACAAATGGCATTTATTCCACATGGATTCATTTGGCATGCAGTCACCTCTGGTTCGTGATAAACTAGAAATTTACGAGCAAATCGCTTTTAAGTTCAGATGAAAACTCAGAAAAAGGCAAACAACAATAACCAATGAAATATTCAGCACAGTAAATGAATCTAAGTAAGTTCTTTTTTATCAAATTTTCTGTTTCTGTTACAGTTTCTGTTACTGTGTGAAATAGCATTTCATTTGTTATTCAAAATTACTTTGAGCGCAAGCGACAAATGGGTCACCAGTGTATCCGTCAGGGCATCGACAAATCGGCTGATGATTGTAAACATTACAAGTGGCCTGCGACGAACAAACGCCAATACAAGGATCGACACAGCGTTCGTTCAAGCATGCCAAATTTCGCGGGCATTCAGAGGAGGTGAGACATTGTGGACGACAATTTGGAGCACGTCCAATGTAATTTGGTAAGCATGAACAAACAGCCGTTTCGCCGACTTCACGACACTGTGAATTCGGACCGCAAGGCGTTGGAACACAACCAACAATTGGCGTTATTGGAACAATTGGATGACCTAACAAACAAATTCGAAAAACAAAACCCTTTTAAATTCTGTATGCTCAACGTGGAATCGAATCTTCTTACGTGTTTCCTCTTTGATACATCGAACGAATGGATCACCATTGTAGCCAAGCTCACAGCTACAGATGGCATTGTGATTAACCACTTGACATCTTGCATTCAAACCACAAACATTTTCGCATGGGTTTTTACATTTTTGATTAATGCACGATTTATCGAGACTGCATTCAGAGGAAACAAGACACTCGGGACGGCAATTTGGTGGCGCTCCAATCATATCGGGTAAACAACTGCATACAGCGTGATTGTCAAGTTCACGACATTGACTATTCAAACCGCATGGTGATGGAGTACAAGGTGTTTCGATTGGAGTTGCTTCAACTACATTTTCCCCCCAAAATACGGAGACATTTCGATTAGAAAACCAATCAAATGGCAGGAATGAAAGGAATCGACTCTTTGAAATGATACAAAATCAAATGGCAACTTTTTTCTTCGAATTTTGAATCGAAACGACTTTTAATCGGAATTTATCTGCTAATAATTTTGTGCAGTGCATCGACGACTGTGCATCATTTGCAAAGAACGAACCTTTTTGGATCTTACCAGGTGGTAAATAACAAGCAATCAAAGGATTGCCTATATAGCCGTCAAGACATCTGCATTGTGGCGAATGATTGATGACATTACAATAAGATAGTTCACCACATGTGTTCGGACATGGGTCTTGGCACTTATTATTGATACAAGCACGATTCGCAGGGCATTCAGTGTTGGACACACATTCTGGACGGCATTCGATATAAGGATCGCCGTAATATTCTGGTATACATTTACATGATCCAATTTCATTGCGTTGTTCGCACAATGCATTTACTCCACACGGTGATGGATGACAAGGTTCAGATGGTTCATCTTTTGACAACAAAGAATATGAGAAAATATTGTTCGAAACAATACCAACGAAGAAATGATTGTCCAAGAATGAAATTGAAACTTCACCACACGATTCTATTGAACTTTGTTTCACGTCCAATAAATTTTATATATAGGAGTCCACTTTCATTCTCGGACAATCAAATGCAAAATAAAAATTCTTACGTAAGACTTGTCTACAACCGCTAAATGGATCGCCAGTGAAACCTTCATTGCACACACAATGTGCTTTGTGATAGAGAACAGTACAATGAGCATTTGGTCCGCAGGTACCATCACAGGGACTTTTACATTTGTCACAAATACAAGCCAACGTTGTGGGACAATCTTCGTCGATAAGACACTCTGGGCGGCAATTTGGAGGTCGTCCAATATAATTGGGCAAACATGAACAAATCGCTTGATAATTATGAGCCCTACACACTGCATTTGGACCGCAAGGGTTGTCATCACATGGATTTATTGGTACAGCAATTGGATAAACTAAGAATTCAAAAAACGATGTTAACATTCATTGAACGTTAATGAGCCGATAGAAAAAAAGTCGAAGAAAGACGCAAAACTCTTCAGAGTGACATTAAATGGAGTTTTTTTCTTCATGTTTGGACAGCTTTGGTTTGGAGATTTGAAAATATGAACATACTAAACTGAAGATAATCTCAAAGAAATATAATCCGAATTTAATTAAAGAACCCTTAAGAAGGTAAAATGGAGTCTCCATTTAACCATAACCAGTGAAAACTATTGCGTCTTCCTTTTAATCGATACGACGACTTACTAGGCTCTGGAATTTGGACACAACAAGTGAACGGATCGCCGTTGTAACCCGGCAAACAACTACATATGGCATTATGATTGACAGCACGACACACAGCATGTAAGCCGCATATACCAGGACAAGGGTCGACACATTTTTGGTTAATGCAAGCTTTATCAAACGGACATTGAGCGCTAATCATGCATTCTGGATGGCAATCGGGCGGAGCGCCCAAATAGCCAGCTAAGCACGAACAAACCGGATGATTTGCAACTACATGACAATCACTATAGAAACCACAAGGCGACGGAAGACACGGGTTGTCTCTTGGCACTGGTAAATATGCTTTCGAATTGACAAAACAAGTTGACAAACAATTAGACTCAACGAAATATAAACGATTCACAAAAACGCAAAATACTATAACCAACGATGACTTACAATTGTCAGGAATGGGATGACATCCAAACCTAGCGTCACCCGTATAACCAGAAACACAATAGCACATTGGTGCATGATTGACAACGGAACACTCGGCATTCATGCCGCACGCATATTCACATGGATCGACACACTTTTTATTGATACAAGCAAAATTACAAGGACAGTCAAAGCTTTGTAAGCATTCAGGTTTGCAACCAAAGTAAGGATCACCGAAATAGTCGGGCATGCAAGTACACGAACCAACACCATTATGCTCCCTACAAACCGCATTCGCGCCACATGGCGTGGACGAACATACATCCGGCGGTGTGTACAATACAACTATAACCCATTCGCAATACAGGCAAGCACAAGATAGAGTATAAAATTGAACGTAACATATGGAAAAAGGAAAAAAAAGGTGGAAAAAAAATAAAGTAAAGAAAGCAGTATTTATACATGCAATAACTTATAACTAAATATAAAGAATAAATAGTACAGAAAGAGATCCTGTTGATAATCTTGCGATAATGCTACCTGAAATCATTCTATTTACATGCAAAAATATACACATTTCAAAGAATAATGCTAAAACAGTAATGAAAACATTCAAAAACGAAAAGGTATGCCCAAAGATAAAGTTCAGCGATTTTAAAAACAAATTTTTGCTATTATACTCTTTGGTTGCATTTATTTTCAATACTGTACTCTAATAATTTCCTTGAATTTCTTGGCATACTTTTTCGTTTTCTACTCGTATAAATATTGATGCAGAAAAATATGGTGCAAAAATACAGTGAAAACAGGTGTGAAGAATCTATGATAAAAAATAACGTTTCAAAATGTTCTATTCTTGACCTTTTAAAACAAAATATAGTAAAAGTAGCCCGAAAAAGATGAAAAGTTGTACTCACTTTGACGTTGATTACAGTTAGCATATGGATCACCTTCATATCCTTCTATGCATGAGCACACTGGCTGATGGTTTTGTACAATGCATCTGGCATTGATTCCACATGACCCAATACATGGATCTTGACATTGTTGAGCAATGCAAGCACGATTTGCAGGGCATTCTTGGTGGATAAGACACTCTGGACGACAATTCGGAGGTGCACCAAGCATACCCAAAGCACAAGAACATACAGCACGACCTTGCAAAATATGACATTCCGAGTTTGGACCACAAGCACCCGACAAACATGGGTTGGCAGGACGTTTTTCTTCGATTGCTACGTGAATCAAATGGAATTTTGAATGATTGAATTTTGGCGCATTAAGAAACAACGTATTCGATATTTGAGCATAAATTTTTCTTTTCCTTTGCTATTTATGAACAACAAAGGTCCTACCAAGAGGCTTATGTGTGAATCTGTCATTGAGTCTTTTTACACTGACCCGAAAATTATAAGGCGACTCGAAAATAACACGTAAACTCTTATTGACTTGTGTAATTTACATGAGACTCTTGTGATTTACTTTACTTATAAGCCACTGAGATCTCACGTTCCGAAATCGTTTTTAAAATAGAAAGAGAGAATTTGTTTTACTCACGTGCAGGTATGCAATGATCGAATGGATCACCCACATAACCTCTCGGACAAGAACAAATTGGATTGTGTTGAATTGTTCTACATTCTGCATTAAGACCACAGATTCCTTCACACGCGTCTCTACATTTTTGATTGATACAGGTAAGCGTTGGTCCACATTCGGATGAGGTAATGCATTCGGGACGACATGAAGGCGGTTGGCCCACAAATCCTGGTTGACACGAACATGATGGCCGATCACCAATCACTCTACAAATGCTATTACCACCACATGGGCTGGGTTCGCACGGATTTTGTGAAGCTATAAAAGAACAAAAAAAAAAACGAATGAATAAATTTATGTTTATTTTGCGTTCATCTGCATTCTTGGTTGCATTTCATGCATTGTAGTTCTGCGAAACATCCTATGATTTCATGAATTTATCATTTTAAAAAACTTACGTAGTCTTGGATTTTGTCGACAGCCAGTGAACGGGTCTCCATGATAATTTCTTGAGCATGTGCAAACTGGTACATGATTTACGACGCTACATTCAGCGAATGCACCGCATACGCCGGGGCATGGATCTCTGCAATGTTGTCGAATGCAAGCCATACCGCTGGCACAGTCACTGTTGTAAACGCATTCTGGGCGGCATCCAGCTCCGTACGCATCGCCAATGTATGGGGGAATACATGTACATTTTGCATAGCCATTTTCAACGGAACAAATTGAATTATCACCGCATGGTGATAGGCTGCATGGATCTTGTGGCGTTTGGAATGGAATCGGCGAGCATCCAGTAAAGGCATCGCCTTGGAAACCAGGCAAACAATTACAGAATGCTGAATGGGCAACAATATGACATTCAGCGTTCACTCCACACGCATTAACGCAAGGATTTTCGCATCGTTCTCGTATGCAAGCCTTATCATTTGGACAGTCGTTGTTCAAAACGCAGGCTGGCCGACAATAAGGTGGATTTCCGATGTAATTTTCAACGCACGAACAAACTGGATGGCCTTGTTTGATTTGACAAATTGAGAATGGGCCACACGGTGAGGGCGAGCATGGGTTTGTTGTTGGCACTCTTCCTTGTTCATTTGGTCCTGGTATTGGGATTAAATGGCACGATTCGAATGGGTTTCCTGTTTCGCCGGGCGAGCAAGAACATATTGGATTATGGTGGATGACTTCACATCGTGCGCCAACACCGCAAACACCTCCAATGCACGGATCAACACATTGCAAATTAACGCAAGCTTTATTCGATGGACACTCTTGGTGGGAAATACATTCTGGGGTGCAAGCTGGTGGATTGCCTCGATACCCAGGTAAGCAAGAGCAAATGGCATAATTAGTTGGTGAAATTAAACAACGGCTATTCGCTCCGCATGGTGTAGGATCACATGGATTGCTTGGTTGATTTTGAATTGGCGGTTGTGGTTGAATGTATGGCGTACATCCAACAAGAGGGTCTCCAGTATGATCTTCTGGACAGAAACAAATTCCAACGTGATTTACAACTTGACACAATGCGCCGCGTCCACATGCTTTGTCACAAGGGTTCACACATTTTTGACCATCGCACGATCGATCCAACGGACATTCAGCGGAAATAACACATTCGGGACCACATCCAATCAATGGATTACCAAAGTAACCGTGCTTACAAACACACGATAAAATGCCATTTTGTTCTCGACATTCAGTATTTGGTCCGCATTGTGTTGAATCACAACCAAGTGGAACCGGTGTAATCGGTGCAATTTCGGAACAATGTTCGAATGGATTTCCATAGAGACCTTGCGGGCACGAGCAAATCGGTGCATGATTTACAACCGTACAGATTGCCGATTGTCCGCATGTCGAAACACAGGGGTCTAAACAGCGTTGATTGATACAAGCTCGGCTAAATTCACAATCATTGTTGGACAAACATTCGGGACGACATCCTGGATTATTGTATCCATCTTCATTTGAACAAGCATCACAAACAGCAATATTTCCGTAAACATGACACACACTACCCGCTTGACATGGTGACGGCTCACACGGGTTGGCAGTTACATTTCGCAACGGTGGTATTGGTAAGCAATGAATGAAAGCATCTCCCATAAAACCATCTCGACAATAACAATTTGCTGTGTGATCATAGACACGACATTCAGCGTTAATACCACAAGTTGAAGATTGACATGGATTCTCGCAATGTTTATTAATACAAGCTTTGTCTCTCGCACAGTCACTGTTTAGTATACATTCGGCGTGACAGCCAATTTGTGGATCTCCAATGTATTCCGGTAGACAAGAGCATACAGCTCGATTATTCAATACACTGCATTGAGTTCCTTCGCCGCATGGTGATGGCCAACATGGTGATCTGCTTGGCTCATCAAATGCAGAACATCTAACCAATGGGTCACCTTCTAAACCATTATCACAATAACAAATTGGATGATGTCGTTCAACTTTGCAGCTTGCTCCAATGCCACACGAACCTGAGCATGGCTCGCGACATCTGAAACCTATACAAGCATGACTTTCCGAGCAATCACTGTCAGCATGACACTCATAACCATGACATCCTTCTGTTGTTGGATCGCCTCCCATTCCGAATGGACAGAAACAAATGGGTTCGCCATTTTCTTGTATAATACATTGACCGTTCGGTGCACATGGATTTGGTTCACATACAGACCGTGGTGGTTGGATGCAACCATTGTAAGCATCTCCAATAAATCCAGCACGACAGAAGCATTGTTCACGACCATTTGCAACATAACAATCGGCATTCGGGCCGCATGGTCCAGGTTTACATAATTCTCGAACAATAACTGGTGGACTACATTGTCGGAATGGATTTCCAATCGTTCCTTCTGGACAATAACAAACAGGGCTTCGTGTAACGTCACACGTTGCACCGAAACCACATGGAAATGGTTCACAAGCGCTTTTCGGTTCGACACATCCACGAATTGTATTTGGACTTTCGATATATCCTGGCAAACAGGTACATTTTGCAATTCCATTTGATAAACGGGTACATTGTGTATTCGGGCCACATGATGATATTGAACATGCATCTTTTGGTGGTTGACACGGAACAGCCGGTGGACTTCCTTCATATTCTGGCAAACAGAAACAAACTGGCGTATCGTTGACCACACGACAGCCACTATTTGCACCGCATACATTTGGATGACATTCATCACCTTCGGGGACTATTTTTTCAATGAAACAATTTTCAAAACGTTTATAAATGATCGAAAAATGATGAAAGAATTGAAAAAATAAATTGAATACATACTGCAATTTTTGAATGGATTTCCAGTTAGACCCTTTGGACAGTAACAAATTGGATTTCCTCGATCTAGTTCACACATCGCATTCAAACCGCATGGATTTGGTTCACAAGCATTCGACGGTGGATTGCAGCCAATCTTTGGATTGCCCGAATAGCCATTTGGACATCGGCAGATTGGTCGATGATTAACAACTTCGCACAAAGCCGATATACCGCACTGGCATGGTGAACCACATTGACCGTTGACACATGCTTCGCTTGATGCACACTCCGAATTTGATCGGCAACCTTGCAGTCTGGTACATTCAATGTATGCATTACCAATGAATCCATTTCGACATCTACACTCAATTCCATGATTTACTGGTGTACATTCGGCATTTTCGCCGCACGAATCGACTGAACAAGGGTTGATACAACGTCTATTCAATCGATCGCACAATTTATTCGGTGGACAGTCTTCGTTGTATTGACAAATCGGTTGATATCCATTAACTAACGAAAAGAACATTTTTTTTTTTAATTTTCATCTCTCAACGTTTTTCGAAATCTCCAGAACTAAATAAGTCGAGTCGTAGTTCATATGGTTTCAAATGAAAGTTTTAAAGACGTAATTAGCTTACCCGGTTCGCATAGGACATAGCCGTTACCAGCAAATCCTTCGATGCAACTACAGTCGCTGCCATGATTAACATTGATACATGCTGCATTCGGTGCACAAGGGTTTCGTACTTCGCACGGATGGCGACAGAATCCATCGAAACATGCTTCGACTAGAGAACAATCTTCGTTGCGTGTGCATTGGACTGTGCGTGATTTTTTTTGTTTGGGTTTTTTGGATTGTTTGCAATTATTTGTTCGGTGCGAATGTGAAAGAAAAAAACAAAACAGTTTGATATGCAATCGGTGATATTTACAAAAAAATAAATCAATATATGGTACAATGGTGTAGAATTGGTGGTATTGTGACATTTATGTGAAAAAAATGAAAAAAAAGTCAACAATCGTACGCCTTGTTGATTTGGATTCAGTGTAATGAAAACCCAAACAGAGCAAATGTTTACAATGACGGAAAATAAGAACTATATAAACATATTTTCAGCAATAAATTTACAGAAAAAAAAAAAACAATATAAAACCTAACGAAAATAGAGCCGAATTTCAAAATGTAAAACCAATTATATACGTAATAATAGTATATAATGATAAATCCGGCAAAACCCCTTTTTTGGAAAAGAAAAACCTCATTCAAAAGCTAGAAAAATGGCACTCAATTGTATGGCAACAGTAATAATAATAATAATCTTAGCTTAACCATAAAAGTAAAACCCATCTTGATATAAATTCACTTGAAAAACGATACAAATATTGTTTACAGCATAAAAAAAGAATTTAGGCAGAAAGCAGCACTATGATAAATAGATAAGCAAAGCGGCCGAAAATGTTTTATTTTCACATTAAAATTAGTAGTTTAAATTTTGATTGTAAAGAGCAAAGCATACATAGAGTTTAGAAGCAGTTTACAGCAACATAGATGTTTTTAGAGTTGTTTCTTTTTGCTATGATTTATGAACAGAGAATGATGACAAAATAATTTTATTTGCACATGTACCTTCGACACAATCGTCACTTGTTTTAGTAACGTTACCGTTAGTTTCACACACTCTATTACATTGTTTTTTAAGACAGACTTCATTCGCGGCGCAATCCTTTTTAGTTTTACATGATTTTCGAATGTTATCGATATCGACCGTTTGCGATACACTCGTTGTGCTGCCATTTTCAATTCTTGTTCCTTCGGTTACGGTTAGTATTTGGTTAGTGGTCGTATCCATTGGTTCGGTTGACGTACGGATATTTGGTGTGCGTCCTTCTTCGTGCGTTGTATCGATTCGTGAAGATGGTGGCTTAGTTCCAATACCAATCGTTGTCAAAGACTCTGTTGTGAATGGGGTGGTATCTTCATTTTTCGAGCCATCAGTTGTTGTGACCAAATCATCCACTGAAGTAGTTGTAATTCTTCCGTCTCCAGTGTCCGTAATGTTATTATCCCCAAGTCGTGGATATTTGCCTAATGAATTATAGGTTGTTGTTTCGTCACTTTCTTCAGTTGGTGTAGTTTGAATCGGTGACTTCGTACGATTTCGATAACCTGTATATTTTTGTGTTGTGGTTTTTAACGTCGTCACTTCATCAGTTCTTTCAGTTGTCGTTGGTTTTGTTCGAACTGGTTTTCTCGTCGTATTCCTACCAACGCCACCATATTTTCGAGTGGTCGACTCTTGTGTCGTCGTTTCATCGACTTGCGCTGGTGTTGTTTGTGTTGATGGTTTTCTCGTATATTTCTTTGATGGTGGCATTTCTGTGGTAGTTGCTTTTTCTTCATCAATTTTTTCGGTTGTCGTTTCAGTTGGTGCCTTTGTTGTTGTATTTCTTGAATTTGGCTTTGTCGGTCGTGGTGTTGTTTTGCTTTGAACTCTTGTGTTATTCGTTTTCTTAGTACTTAAAGTAGTTGTGATTGGAGTTTTCTGTGTGCTAGTTGTTAGCCTAGTCGTATTTTTAGCTGAATATTCACATAAAGTAAATGTAAGTTTAAGTGTTGTTTTTTGTTGCAAAAATTAAACATGAACATTGAAAATATTTAACAAGAAACAAAAACAAAATTAGATGGAAATGATATGTACAAAATCAGTGCAAACACTTTGGGGTTAGACATTAAAAGTGTATTGGTTTAAATTCTACAATATATACAAAGACTCCACTTTGGAGCATAACATTTTGCATCTTTTGCAGCACACAAACAAATCCTGGAATATTAACACGTGATGGGAGGTATGCGTGTAAAATGTATGTATATTTGCAATTTTGCCATGAAAATGAAATTTTTGTGCCAGAATAACAATTGCTCGAAAAATATTCAATTTTGCAAGTGTTTTTTTTTTTAAATGATTTTTGCCATCCTTTTATGTGTGTGTTTATTTACACTAGCCCTATTATTCAAATTGAATGAAATTTTATCACGCACAATTTGTACGTTCGTTTTTGGTCAGAAAAGTAAAAAATTTCCTATTTTCTCGAAATTCAAAAAAAATTATTGAAAATGATCCGAATTGGAAATATGAATTTATAGCACCTGTTATCAATGAATGATTAAAATTACCTTTAACGCATGCACCTGTGGCTGGATCACAAACACCACCTGAACAATGACTACAATCGTATGGATCACGTCCTGAAATTAATTTTTCGCGGATAAGATTGAATTTTCAGTATAGGAAGCGAATATCGACTAATCCTGTTCTTGCTGATAGAAATTTATTAAAAACATTCAAAGAAAAAAATGTCTAAACCTTCACAACTTACCAACATGAACGCAGACTGGTTGATGGTTATCCACATGACAGTCTTGATTTTGTGAACATTGATGGTATGCACATGGATCAACACACAATGAATTGATGCATGCTTTTTGATGTGGACAGTCGGCGTTTGATTTACAGCCAATTTCTGGAAAATTGTATCATCAAAATTTCAATTAATTTTTGTTCAAAAATGAAATAGTATAAAAGCGCCAAAAAAAGCAGCTTAATAGTCAAATTATTACATTTCGAAGTATCGAAATTGAAAATAACGCGGTGTTTTAATCGTTATTTTAGGTTTTCGGTTATAACATTTATATAAAAAATATATAAATCGACTCGCTCGTTTGTGCCAATTTTAGTTTGGCGGTTTTGTTGTCAGAGAAGAGAGTCTTTTCAGTCGAATAATAAAGTTCTATTATTTACATAAATACATCAACTTAGATAGTGTTCCTCTACATTTTTCTGATTTACAAGTTTTCTACATGGATACACGCTACTATTTACACATATACATAAAGATATGCACACAAATGCAATTGAAGTGATAATAAATACCCATGGAATATGTGCGATTCATGTACAAAAGCTATAAAGTAATCCATCACCAAAAAAAGCCTTAAAACTAAATGAAAACCATCACCAATCGTTTGAAATACAAATTGAATGATTTCCAATGAAGATCATTCGACGCAGCGATATCTATATACACTTTGTGACTTACCTCCATATTAAATCTAATTTAAGTATTCAATATAAAATATATGGACATTTGCAGTATTATTTTTCGTCCATTATGCGCAATATCGAATGATTGTGTCCTATAAGATCCGATCCAATCAATCGAATAAAAAAAATTGTCTACAAAGTGTTTGAGATCAAAGAGAAAGAGAGAATAATTTCACTAACATGCGGACCGCAGCTGATTTACTGCAGTTAGTTTCTGTAGTTTTTTTTCATTGTCGATTTCATGAATTTGGCAAATAAAAGAAAAATATAGAAAAGCGAATAATATGCTGTTCGAGATAAATGATTGTCGAGAAGAATAAGAAAAAAAAATAGATGATATTTTCACCCTAAAAAAATGAAAAGCGCAAAGTGCCACACAGTGTTCATTCCAGCTAAGAATATAAAATATAAATAGTTGACGCTGAGAAGCTGAGAAACATTCGCTTCGATTCCAACGAACTTGTTGCTAAGGTAAAGAAGATGCAAAATATGAAATGTCCAAATAAGAAATGTTTTTTTTTTAGATGTAAAATTTGCTCAATACTGATGATTCACATGGTTGATCGTCAATGGGCTGTTTCATGTGAGAGCTTTGGGAATGATTTTATCATCAGATGAAAATAGCATACAGGCAATAATACCAAGAAGAGAATAAAATGTTCCACGTTTATTCTTGATTTTGTCTAAGACGCATTTGTTTCTAAAGAATTTGTGAACTTTTATAGTAAAAATGAACACATTTCCTGATATTTTACCTGGATTTGATTTGCATTCTTTAATTGACGTTGAATTTTGGACAAAGTCATCACACTGGCAATGGATTTCATGTTTGGTTGTGTTACAAGGAACATTTTGGATACAAGGATTTGGATAAAAGGAGCATGGATCAACACAATTGAAATTGATACACATTTCCGTTTCGGAACAATTTGAATTATGAGTACAAGACTGATTCAATGACGGCGACTTCGTTGACGCTACATCAAAAATTGGTGTTGTTGTTTCTTCGCTACTTGTTGTAACGACTGAAGTGGTATCTAATTTAGATTCTGTTGTCGTTGTGTCTTTTGTCATTTTTTCGCTCGTAATAATTGTTGTCCAAGTATTTGGGTCAGTAAATGGATTTACAGTCGTTGTTTTATGTTCAGAATCTGGTTGTTTTGTGGAACAATTTGTTTGACTATCAACCGATTCATCACATGGAACTTTAGAAAGTTCAGTGGTGAATGCCCGGATGTAAACATCCGTAGCCGCTTGAGCAGCTTCGGTCATAACTTTCTGAATAAATGGATCAGTGGTTGTAAATTCACCACTCGTTGACGATTCGGTGTACATTGGATTGTCAGTCATTTTTCGATGTTGACTTTCATCACCAGAATACCGATAATCTCTTGTTGTAGTAAAAACATCACTTTCTGTTTCACTTGATACCGTTGACGTACTTGCCACCATATGATCATCAAAACCTTCGGTTTCAGAACGCAACGATGGCACTAAGTTTCGATGCGTGGTTAATTTTGGTTCAGTTGCTGTTGTCATGTCATAAGCTGAAGTGGTCGCTTCCTTTGTTGAAGTGATCAACTCTTGAGTAATTGCTTTCTTTGTTTGAGATGACATGGTTGTAGGCATTCGCTCGGTCATTGGAGTATTATATAATAAATCTTTTGGTTGTTTTGTTGAATCTTGCAAGGAGACCATTTCTGAAGAAATTGAGTATTCTTTAGACTCTGTTGTGTGATCAGAATGGGGGATTTGTGACAGAGTCGTGATTTGGGGTTTGATAGTGGTAAATGACTTTTCAGAATATGTCGTGGTTGTGACCATACTTAAAGACGATGTGATGGAACTTGACGTTCCATGACCATGCTCAGTGGTGACCAGTGAATGTGGAAGGTTTTCTTTGCCGAAAACAGGAGTATCAGTTGATTTTGTGATCATTGATGGTGTGGTAACACCATCTGAGCTTTGATCACTTGACAGAGTGGTAAAAGCGTTTTCCATATGTGGCCCCGACATTGTTGTTTCACGATCAATCGACTGAATTGTGGAAGTTTTATCGAAAGATTTTGTTGTTCTATCATTCTCACTGGGAGCAAAAGAACTACTTTCTGTCGTAAATAATTTTTCAGTTGCCACTATTGTGGAATCATGAACAATAGACTGAGTTGTAGCAGAACCTTCCACTTGTTTTGGAACTGTGGTTACTTTTGAAGAAATACTGCTAGTCTTAAATTGCTCAGTGGTTATTTCATCAGATTTGGTGGTTCTTTCACTCGGAGCGAATGAACTTTGCTCTGTGGTAAATAACTTTTCTTTCGGCAACAGTGTCGATTCATGTTCGACAGACTCTGTGGTAGAAGGAATATTGTCTTTATTTCGAATAGTGGTAGTAATTTTGGATGTGGGAGTATTAATTTCAGTAGTTGAATCGGTATATCTTGTTGTCTGTTCTTTTTCAGTTGAAAGTTCCGTCGTAAACTGATCAGTAGTTGTTTCATAATTTATGGTCCGACCACTTTCGCTTGGACCAAACGAGCTACGTGCAGTGGTAAATGATCCATCAGTCGATAATACTGTTGAATCATCTTGAATCGATTGGGTTGTTAAAGGAATATTCTCTTTACTTGGAATAGTGGAAGAAGGAACTTTAGTTTTAATTTGTTCAGTGGTTGAATCGATGTATTTTGTCGTCTGTTCCTTTTCGGTTGGAACAAAAGTACTGTGCTCAGTGGTAAACGCCCTTTGTGTTGG